CTTCGCCCTCAAGGGCCACGGGTCAATAGCCCATTCGGCTTCGCCTCATGGGCTATTGACCCGTAGCCCGCAAGGGCTATGGGTCTAATTGTTAAATAGATCACAGATGACGTTGTAAGAACAAATAAGTGGCACGCGAGGCAATAGCCGAGTGTGTCGCTGATGTTCTTACCACATTTTGACGTCCTCTGTGATCTATTACTGAACAGACGCACGGCAACATGGAATCTATTTGTTTTATAGAATAAAAAAAACAACAGAAAAAGCTATTTTATTTTAAAACCTTTTAACATAACTCGAAAGCCGACCTTTGACTACTTTGACGTAATCTATTAATCTATTGCTCTGCGTGGCAAAGAATTGTGATACGAGTTTTGGATGAGAGAAGCGTTAGTGACGGTGCAAATTTGTGTCCTCTGTGGTTGTTGATTCTCAAATCAGTTTGACCTAGTGTAGGAGACGCTATATAACTGGAATACAGTTGGTCGTGAGCTGTAGTAAGCTCTACTTTTCTCGCTACTGTGCCCTGAAACGGACTGGAGCAGTCGCGTCAGAAAACAAGGTTAAACTTAAGCTTATGTGTTTATTTAAACTGATGATGTTTTGATGTTTAATTCCTAGAATCAAGCTGTGTCAACAATCATTTTGAGACTGAGAAAAGTTGAAGTTTTTAAATAAGTTAAGGACATGAACATTTTGCTTATTAGTTTTGTTAAATTCGAGAAAAAGCAATGGTTTCTTACCTTAAAGTAATTTCAAGACCAATTTTGCGTTTCGTTTAGTCTCGCCCGACTGCCGACTGAGACTGCTCGAGTATTTTTTCTGAGTCATTTTCTAGAAAAGAAACGCCTTTTTCTTTCTTCTTGCAGACTCTCTTACCTGTTCAATGCCTCGGTAAGACTTTTTTTTTATACCTTATCTCTCCCCAGTCACGTAAAATAGTATCCAAATTCTCACAACTTTCCGCCATTTTAAACACAGAGTGAAAAACTTTGAAATGATGACGTCAATCGTGCGTCTGTCCTAGATCATTAATGGATCATTGGCGAGAACCGATCAAAATGCGAGAATAACTTGGGTTATTATATAAAACTCGATAGAAACATGGTACATGTTTTCTATTTCTCAATTAGGCATTTACTGATCAACAGCGCTTTACAACTTAAAATACTACAATAAAATTCAAATTTGTAAAAACAAACATTATGTTGAAAAACTGAAAACGTAATGTCCGTTTTAGTGCGAGGCATTTCCTGTTATTCAACAGTCTGCGGGTTCAGGTTTCCTGACCAGTCAGGAGAATGCACGTGTCCTAGGTGTAACTAAAAGTTATGTTATCTCTAACTTGCGGCCCTTCCTGCGATCATCGTCATCCTATGAACAGCTAATTGCGAAAAATGTCTCGCAATAAAAACTAATTACATGTATATTAGTAGAATAGAATATTTGTAGTAATGATGATAAACTTAATTAGTAATACTAATAAGAGTGAATATCAAACAAGATACGCTTTAAAAGCTATACGAAATAAATAAGTTTTCAGCTTACATTCAAAAATAGCTAATGACTGAATATCATGTAATTTAGCCGGCAAACTATTCCATAAATATGGAGCAGCAGCAGAGAAAGATCTATCACCTAAAGGCAAAATATTAACGGGATATGTATTGTGGGGAAAAAATAATGGGGTGTGGGATATTGAAATCAATTAAAACGGAACGCGGGATCATGTTTAGGCCATAAATTAACGGGATATGGGATACTCAGACTCCCCCCCGCCTTCCCTAATGGGACCTTAGTTTTGCTCATTTCAGGTCAGGAGTATTTCTTATCCATCGCCTGCGCGTCATCCGTTCTGCCGAGTAAAGTGACAGCAATATAGCGTCAAATCATATTGTAGATCTACCAACCTTTGTTCCGGGTAACTTGACTTTAGTTTCCAAAGAAAGAGTTGTCAGGGAAGAAGTCAAGGCTGCCGTAAAAATGGAAATTATAACCATTCCCACCAAAATCCACATCACTGCAAACAGGCGCCCTCCAATTGACCTTGGATAACGATCTCCGTAACTACACAAATAACAATAAGAAGATTTCTCATTAGTTTACATGAAGCGGACAGACGGTCGGCGCCCATCGTACGTACGGTGACGTCACAGCCAAACGTTTGCGGATCGATAGGTTACATTTTCTTCACCGCACTGTGCTCCGCTAAAAAGGTACTGAACCATCAATGAGATAAGTCTAGAATCATAGATATGATAATTGATTGATATATAAACAACCTCGTCAAGATGTAGGTCTGCACGGATTTTCATATCAGTGTGCCCGCTGGGGGTGGGGTGCCTCCCATATGAAAAGGTCAGTGATGTTCGTCCGTCTCGCTTAGAAGTGTAACTCACAGATTTTGGTCTCACGTATGGTGTTAAGTAGGTAACATCACTACTTTTAGCCATCAAAATATGATTTAGGGCGGCACCCGAAAAAAATAAAAAACGCTTTCATTAAGTGTTATAGGTGTTAGATCTTTTGGGGTACTATAAAACCCGAGCCACGCGCAGATTGTTTTCTTTAGGCGTTTAAATCAAATTTTTCCGACGAACCTTCTTGACATTTACATATGGGTGTCTCTCTCTGGGCCTGTGTTATTCGGAGAAATCTTTCACCTAACTTTTTTGAGCTTTATATGAGGAAGCCATGGTTATGTCTCTCGGAAGGGCACCAACACCGTGGCCGTAACTACAGAGACATCTGCTACTGACCGAACCAACAATCGGGATCTCAAAATAACTGAGGAGAATATGATACTTTTGTAATTACATCTGCCAATGGCTAGACGTTCAAATCTTCTCGGATAAGGACTATAAACGGTAGGCCCCGTATCCTGCATCGTCAGTGTTACACGGTTAGCAGGGAACGTTAAAGAACCAACACACTTGTCGCAAAGAGTAGGGCACGTAGTTCCTGCTGTTGTGGTCTGGCCTTGTCTCACGAGTCGGCGCTTCACATAGGGTTAACCTCATTGCGCCTTTCCCACTTGGACAAAATTACCCAAGAAAAATTGCTATGACTCTCTCGAAATCATTAATAATTCATCAAGTTAAAACAAAGAAAATCACGACCGTGAAGGAGGTTTGAATACCTAGTCTTAATCAGCATAGATTTTTACGATTTTACTTCTCCGTTTACTCCTTAGTTTTTGTTTCGATTGAGAAGATATATCAAACACTCGAGATATAGTTTCATCGGCTATCCAAACACCTCGAATTTCGTCAAAAATACTCCGCTGCGCCTCGTATTTTCAAGTCTCTTCTCCGTGTTTGGATATCCCGATGAAACACTGCCTCTCATGTTTGATGTATTACATGACTAACCAGTTCTCTACTGTCAAATGACAACTGACAACTGACAAGTGGTCCAAAGTTGAATCTTATTGTTTTATTCACCTTGCTATTCAGACATTTTCAGACTGTTTTCATTCTGTCGCCACATTATGTAAACATAAAGCAAATTAAATCTTCGTTGTACTTACCCTACTGTTGTCATGGATATAAAGGCCCACCAGAAACCTTCCCAGATGCCTTTTGTAAACATAGACGGAAAGTTGTCTGGATTTTTTCTGGTTTCCTATAGCAACATGTTCACATCACACTGGCTAGTTTACACAGTTAAAATTGTTAAGAGATATCGTAATTAGTTGACATTAGAGTTCAGCATGAAATAAAATTAGGAAATGGAAGGGAGTACAGTTTTGTCACAAAATCCCTTCCATTAGGCTCACGACAATTTTCATCGGTGGTATAAGCAGTAATGACCATTTTTCATTCACGTACATGTAATAAGGTGGTGCAAATCATCATGTGAGAATTTATAGGGTAATCAAACACAATTACATTAGTTTTTCTTGCAAAAGTCAGCATGGTATGGTTTTCACGTTCAAACTGGATCAGATTGTTAAAGTAACGTCCAGGGAGAACGATCGTTCTGAAAACGCCTTTCCGTCTGCTAGTCGACTGTTTTAAGTTCGGCTGTTCATATTGAATGCAAGGTCAAATAACAGCCTTTATTCAAGAAATAGAAAAAGTGTACCGTGTTTCTATCGAGTTATAGACACACGAGTGGGAGTTTGGGAGAACGAGAAATGCTTTGGGAACACGAGCCGTAGGCGAGTGTTTCCACAGCTTTTTCGAGTTCTCCCAAACTATCACGCGTGTATCTATAACTCGATAGAAACACAGAGAACATGTTTTCTATTTCTTTTAGAAAACACCGCGACGAAAAAAAGGAAAACAACTTATTAACTTTGATAATCAAAATGTAAATTCTCTTTGCTCGCGCCATCATTACGTCAACAGCTCGTGCTAGTTCTGTGTTTCTATGGAGTTATAGAAACACGATTTTTAACCAATCAGCGCACGTATTTTCTTAGGGCTGTTTTCTAAAGGATGACATATGCATGCATCTTGGGACAGAAACAAAAACAAATTAAAACAATCCTCCGTAGGAAGAAAGACGGTGGCTGTACATATTCCCACAATACCATGTGAGACTTACACAGTCCACAAAGTACAAGGAATATCGTATTTTTACAATATTTGTCCCTGTGCTGACGACATTGTGTATGCTACAGGCTTGAAGATGTTAAAACTCTTCTGTACTTTTTATGAGTGCTGTTAAAGTTTTCGTGCGCTGGAATTATGGGTAAATGAACCAGTCGCCATTCTTTTTCCTACGTAGGAATACACCAATTTCAATATATTAAAATTAACAATAGACCTCAGAGTTTGTGGGGTTTATTCCCCAGAGCCTCGTGCTGAGGACTATCATTTTAAGCTGAATTTTAATATATTGAAATTGGTCTATTATAATTAAGCGTACTATTCAACATACCAGTGACCAGGCTATAATTCCGGCAAGCAACGAAAAAATAAGTATAAGAACCAGAACAGGCCAAGTTGCAAGCAGAGACTTGACGACTCGCCACGACTGCTCACTCTTGGTGCTTTTAACAACCACGAAGGCTATTCCAGTCTGGGGCAACATGGGAACGAAATGTCTCTGACCAGACATGTTGAAATCAGCCTCAAGATTGATAATAACTGGAAGATGGAAGTCTGATTCTACCGCTGAGCCATTGTACACCAGATTACTACTGAGTCGGCAACAATCAGTCAACATTATACGAAGGAAAGCTGTCAATAACAGACATAACAAAGAATTACAAAAGCAGTCAAGAGTATAATTAGACGATCTACTATTTTAGTACATATGGATTGATATTCTTTGAGTGGAAGCTTCAACTCATTACTAGTATGGTTTGTTTAGTCGCAAATTATGTCAATGATTACTATATAACACATAATTAAGTGAATAGTGCTTTTTACGGGTTCTGATTGGTTGACTCAGAAGTGATTAGCAAAGCACTATTGGGACCACGGTAAAGCTCCACTTTTCACTTCCACTTCGATGAATAATTGCTAATTTATGAATGTTGTAAATGATTAATCAATGCAATCGATTAATGAATAATCGATGCAATCAATGACTTATCGATGACTGAAAAATTTTGTGAGCCTATTGATTATTCATCGATTACTCATTGATCATCGGCAATAATCAAAGACTAAACGACTGATTACGCATCGATTAGTCATTGATTTCACTGATTTCACTCAGTGCCATCGATTACTCACGTCTGGTATATTTTAGTTTCATGTACTTTAGGTCCAACCATTAAGGTGGCTCAAAACAGTTTCCAGCAATGACTTAGATTTTGATGGGTCGTTATAACTACTCTTCATCACTTGATGCTACAATCATGGTATTAAAAAACTGCCCAATCAATGGTGAGCACCTTGTTATCATTTCGCGACACAAAAGGTTGCAATAGCAACAGTATGACCTGCCAAAAACACCCTTAATCACAGTTTTACGGGCTTATAATTCAAAAGCACGGTGAAATTTTTTTATATTATCAAATTTTAATGAGCATGGTAAGACGCAACTCTTGGCAAGTTTTTAAAAAGATCCTGTACATAGGGTTCAGAGCCACCTTAAATTTTCAAAACACTAATTCGCTTTCAAGTAGAAATCACGAATTTCGTCCAGTACAACTTATTGGCATAAAAGGATTTTGGGCAAAATTGCGCTGACGGTCATTAGCCATATCATAAACAGATTTGACCAAATTTCTTCCCTTTTTGTGACTGAAAGGTTTAGCCAAAGCAAACTGCAGTAGCCCAAGGTTTATCAGTGATACAGCACCAAATATAATAATCCTTGCCTCCAGTACTCGGATTTACCTTCACAATTGTCGTTATATTGAAACTGTGTGTCTGTTTCGATGCCACTATTTGAGGAGTCTAACCTGAACTGCTGGTCACAAAGTACGTTTTATTTGGTCACAGAACTCTGATCAGTTTATCTCGTCAGACTAAAAAGCACGTAGTTGATGGTTGCCTTATCTAAGCGTATCTGGACAGATGGTAGCGAAGCTTCAGGACTGTTAGAATATTTCAGTGAATTAAATTTACCCCAGATTATTGAAATCATAAAATCATCTGTTGATAATTGGTCAGTATATTCATCTAAAAAAAACCTATCTACACCTCTCATGACAACCCTACGACCACGCTTCTCAGTGGCATTAAAATCCGAGCGCTTGTTAGTTCATGAACATGAATAAGTCCGTACAAAACCGAGTTTTTACAATTCCAAATCGAGCAGTGCCTCACCGGCTTTTGCAAAAACAAACGAGAAGCAATTTTAAATAACATAGACATCGAGAGTTACACGAAACAAGCCATTTGACAAAGCATTCGCAAACAAGTAAGAAAAAACAAAAAGCTTAGAGGAGCTCAGTCACGGTATTTTAGTTATTTTGGCCACATACAAAATTACCTTTAAATCGGGTAGGAAACCTGAAAATAACAGCTTAATAAAATAAAAAAACACCAAAGAGATAATGATAAACCATAAAGGAACAAGGATGGCTAAGGAAGGAGAAGATTAACACGGATCACAAACGACGAATTTGAAAAATTGAGGCTAAAACTTTTCATCAGTTACGCGCAAACCGTGACTGCACTCCTTTAAGATAGATGAAAAAGTAGCAGTTATAGGAAAGACATGAAAAATCCCGGATACATTACTCGGAAAAAGTCCATCAAAGTCGCTGGTGAGGTTTTCCACGTAAGGAGGTCGAGCAAGAATCTTGTTCCAATGAACTGTAAGCGAGTGAGGACAATCAATAAATCCCATGCCCTGTTCGCGATCGGTTGTCTCTGACGTACTTTCTAAGATTCCAAATAAGGCAAGCAGGATCAAACTGTAGAGACTGCGAGCTTGTCGCAAACACCAAGCCATGCTGAGCTGCCCGGTGGGAACCGTCTGGAGCTAAGAAATTATATTCTGAAATTAAAAGAGATTACAATCACAAAATCTGAAAGTATAAACGCATCCGCTCGAGAGGATGTCTGACTGTAATAAAACATTGCAGTCCATTCTTTTATGAAAAGCAAACACACCTTTGTTTGCCCGTCACCGATATTTTCAGTAATGAAACTGGTTTTTATGATTTCACGTTTCCAATAAGTGTTTGTTCATTTTTCTTTATGACACTTTAACCTTGACTATTTCATACGTCGCAAAACCCTCTCATCAATATTTGTTCTAGTTTTTATGAGAATTTAATTAAAGTAAATCCAGTAAATTTAACCGACGGCTATGGGTGCAATCAACAAAAGAAAAAGCATTGGCCCAGTATCGTCCAACATGGAGTATTAACATCGTTGTACCAACAAAAGTTTGCGGTTTGTGTTGATACCTGGCGGTGGTTTAGCACATGAGCATCAGAATCGAGAGACTCACGACTGTTAATTGTGTGGATAGTAATTAGGAAACGTTCGTTGTTGCTGATTTTCAATAGGTCATTTCCGACTTGACTTTTGTCTCTTTGTCAAAACATTTCTTCGTGCGACCTCAAGCACATGATGGGGAAATGGGTTTCACCTGAACATTAATTTTTATGCAAAACAAACTCATTTTCATTTGAAAGGTTTTGCAAGAAGACTCGTTCTGAAAAATTGGCAAAGTTTAACTCGGAAGTGGCCTATCTTGAAACAAATGAAACAAAAGCACAAATTTAGAAGAAGGTAATAGTAGATCTGGGAGGTTTTGTTTCTTGCTAAATTTCACCAAAATATAGTCATTACATTAAAAGTTTTGTCGAAGGCGGAAAAATCTAGCCTATATCTTGATTTGGTTATATCAAACTACAACTTGCTTTCCAAAGGTTGGTACTACAAAAAGCAAGCCGGATAATTGAATTGTCCAATATAACAAATTCTGCTTAGCATTATCACATTCTGAATTTTGGCAGCGCGTCTTACAGATTAAAAGGAACCGAGAAACTTAGCCCAGTCTACATGAAGGTATTTGAGGAATACTTCAATATATTTAGAACTCCACGCACCCCTCTAGGCCGATAAAAGTAACATGTTAATATTAAAAATGTGACCCACTTTACTCATAATAATTTTATGAAGATTCTATGCCATTCCATTACAATATCCAGAACTGAAAATCTTAACGCGACTTAATTTCAAAATTTAACTTCATTTTTATCCAACCCCAAGTGAGATAACACACTCAAAAACACTGCCGAACTGTCAACAAAACTTCGCCATTTGCAAGGCCAAAAAACCTGCATCCAGATGAACGTGGACTGAACATTTACGGTGTGTGATGCAAGTTGAAGTTTTACCCTTAGTTTTAAATTTGTGCCTCGTTTGAATTGTTTTCGAGCATGTCACTGGGCATAAAAAATGATGGATTTCATTTCTCCCACTCTTCAGTGGTGAAACCTCCTGCAAATTTTTAGCGAGATCACACAGGAGTAGCATGATGTGGCTGCGTTCATAACGTTCACATACACAATGTTAAATGATTTTCTTCAAGCGAAGCTCGACAGTGAAACATAAGAATTTTCGTCTTCTCCTAAACGAGGGCGGTGATCATGACCTCCACCTTTTAATGCATAAATTTAAGTGACATACGGTTGACTACAATATTCTCCGCGATTTAAAAAAAAAAGTTTAAAAGTATGCTTTGATGTATATTTATTTAAGGCTGTAAGGAACACGTCTTAATGAAATAATGATTACGTGTTCATGCAGCGAATTATTTTATTTGCCTCCGTGCTCTAATTAATCTTTATTCCTTTTCAACTAAATTAGCTTACCACGTAAGAGCCAAGTCTTTTTTGTTGGATGGTTTCAATATCTCAATACAAGAAATGACTTTGTTCAAAATTTATAGTCCCCTTTCTAACTACCAGGGTTCTTAGGTATGTGCGTGTCCACGAGGGGCAGCGCAAAATCGCTTCTAAATGACATGTATCTAGTGGTTCCATTGTATTTTACAGTTGGAAGCGTAAGTTGAGGTAACTTTTTTAGTTGAATCTTCTGCTGCAGTATTTATATCGATATCTTGAGAATGCCACAAAATAAAACTCCGATAATATTTGAAAGAAGTGTCTTAAGTGCTTCTTTTAGCCGAATTTTTACTCGTAATGGATATGAAAATGCTTGGCTAGTTATTTCTTAGAAAAAAAAAAAAAAATTAAAAACGATCTCTGGCTGAAACGATTACAAGCTTTCGACTGCCTGAACCACAGTCTTCGAAGGGTAAAATGAGAATGACAAGGAGCGAAGAAGACGAAAAAGGTTGAATAAAAATGCGTAAAATTGCGAAATAATAAAAATGCAAATAGTTATGAATATATTTGTTAAAAAGAATGTTAGATTGCCCAGATGGTGCACATGAATTGTTGTTCGCATTAGGAGTCAGTTTGGTATGACACGCTTTCAGTGTCTTTCTTATTCTAAAACCACCTTTGTCAATGATAGAA